TTATTATTATTATTATTATACTCCGCCTACTAGGTATAAATTAGAATATGTTATTTTATTGTTTGTTTCATTTTCAACTGCGGAAGGCACTTTTTCAAATTATCCCTACACGATAGTTTGATTCTGTGAATTAATGTTATTTAACCTCTAAAAATTCGGTGCTTATATAACATACCAAAATTTGCACAGCCCACAATTTAATGATCAATAAAAATATAATTCATAAGCTATCTGCCTGAGTACGTAGTCCATCACCACTCTCAGTCCATAAATATTGRCTGTRGTTAGAAATATAATATTGCTRTGTTATTTTTTTTTTCGTTTTCGTTTTTGATTTACGAACGATCGGCATTCGGTCGGTGTGAAATACTAACTGTGAATTGTCGTTCGTTTTTAATTTGTACGACACAAAAAAAAACACCGTTACCTAACGTTAGATAGTCAGAGCACAAAAAAAAAATCATATGCATTTGAAATATTGTTTACGCCGATTTCATGCTTGTCGAGAAAACAGAAAGACATTGCGAGCAAATTGCAAATTGGTTATCATGTTTGTTGCTGTAGAATATTATTTTATTRAGAACATTTATTTTCGATTTTTAAACATTGTGCACTGTAGAGAGTTTTGATGCAAAACTTCTACTACAWCATTCTACATAATTATGATGTAAATATTTAAAGTTGGTTTTTGGTTTGGTTTATTTTTGATGTGAAATTTATAAATAACATATACCTTTTCAATATCATTGAAAATATAACAAACTTGGTATGACTTTTACTTTTGAATTTGAAAATTTTAACTACACACAATTAAAGTAATTATTTATATCGTTATATTATATTACCAACATTACGACACATTAAGTTCAGAAGTTTATCAAATAACTTATAAAATATTTGTTTAATATTCTCTGATCTTATACTGAAGAAGGCACTAGATTAAGATAAAAGTCGTTAAATTAAATTAAATGGTAGTAGACTTTTGGTATAGGGTTACAATATTTTATTATCATAATAAAAATAGGTAAAATAAAATAATTGTAATGCATCACATTCAAAAACGAAATTCCCTAACCGCTCTAGTCCGAGATAAGTCGAGATTCACAATTAATGAAAATATTATCGTTATTGATTGTAATATTCTTAAGATTGTTGGAAAATATATGTTATCACAAAGAAACTCCAATCAAGCCTAAGGAAATAATAATTGCCCAAATCGTTATGGGAACTGTGGTCAAAGTAAAAAAAAATAAAAAATGTTAAATWATATTTTTATCTAGTTATTTTTAGTACAATAATATGTTGATGGTCATTTAGAAAATTAAGTGAACACGTGTATGATTAAAATGTCACGATATCGTAAATGGTCGTTTTTTTGTTTTTATTTTAGTTTATTCGAATTTTATTTAACAGGACTAGAGCTGCTGTGACATCATAGGGGACTTCAGGGAGGAGAGATAACGGTTACGGTAGTATATTCTTATATGGTGAAGATATAAAAAATGAGACATTCGAAAAGGTACGCTCGATATTACTAACAATAATAATAATAATAATAATAATAATAATAATAATATATAGTTGAGGCCGTCCAACCGAAACGAAAACATGATAGACTATGCGTATCGGTGATATGACATGGACCATAAAATATTATTCGATCGTACAAAATTTGTCCGCCTTTTTGGCGATTATATACTATTTAGAGTAATTGTCAATCCTCCGCTTCCTGTCGAGACTCTCGGTACCCAGTTCTCTCCCCCGAGAATATTCGTTTTCGTATTGTTATTATCGTATTTTATGATTAACCAGTTATACTTTTTCGTAAAATATTACGATACAAAAAAAAAAAAAAAAATTAACGTTGTACAAGATTTTGAAACACTATAATGCAATAATATATATATATATAATATTATGTATATTTATATATATTTATATTCTTATAATCATTGTACATACGTAATCGATTTGTCTTAATAGTAATAATATCTTAATCGCACAATAGTATACCTAATAATAATWATTATTATTGTGATGGCGATAATAGTATTTTTGCTGTGATCGGTAGTGTCTCGACAGTGCAGCGTGCTTACAGGAAGTCGTTGGGTCGGGGTGGGCACGACTTTTTGAGCGAATCAGTCCGGGGAAATGGTGGCGGTGACGTGTCTCTTGGGCTGAACGGGCGCATAGGCGGCAGGGCGGACGACGAGGACCGCGTTCGGGACTTGCTGCGCCGTCGCCGGACCATCGGTGGGAGTTTAGGGGTGACCGGCGAGCTCAGGTCGTCCGTGCTCTTCGTTCTGCACCCCGGCCGGCGTCCTGCTTCCGGTGTGTCTGGTGGCCGCAACAACGGCGATGGGGCGGGAGAGGCGACGGTCAGCGCGTCCAGCTTGCCGACGATCCGAACCATCATGTCCTCGATGGCTGTCAGTCGCTGGTTGATGGACCGCACCTCGTCGCGGAGATCGGACCGGAGATCCTCGATCTTGGCCAATACGTCGAGGTCAGGTGGCGGTGGCARGACCATCGTAGGACACGGTGGTGGCGGCGGTGAAGGCGCATCCGCCGTTGTCACCTGGTACTGGTGAGGCGGTGCTGGAGTCGGAAGTTCTTCTTCCTGTACAGGTTCTCCACTACCGACGACATCGCCGCCACTACCGCCGCTTCCACTGCCACCGACACCGGTTCGTTCGTCCGTCTCTTCGATCGTTTCCTGTCGCTGGTTTCCGCCTACGCCGGCAAACGGCTCGGAAGCGGTGGTCGGCACTTTTTGCAATTTCGGAAACACTTTATGACCGTTTCCGACAGACCGGCCCGGCGAGTCGCGGATCTTGGCAGGCGCGCTTTGCGCACTTACCACCGACACGTCCGCCGAGTCGGAACTCCCACCACCACCCAAAACTTTACCCCATTTTGACACTTTTTTGGGTGCCGCCGCTGTTCTCAGGCCCGTCGACGAACAAGACGCCTGTTGTGGGTCTTCACTCTGTTGCCTGAGTACGAGTGGCAAGACTTTGGGGCGAGCACCACTGACACTATCCGAAGCGTCACCGGTGCCAACCTCAGACTTGCTCTCGTCGGTACCCACCGCCGCTGCAGCTGCTCCCGATGCGGCCCCTGCACCCTGTTGCATCCCGAGGACCGTACTGGGAGCTCGATCCTTCCGGAACTTGGTGAATATCTTCCTGACCAGTTGGTCCCGCTGTTCATCTAGTTGCGGTTCGTTTTTCCGCTTCTCGGCCAGCTCCTTTTCCCGGCGAACATCCGCCACTTTTCGGAAAATTAACTGAAATCGCACAAACAAATAGGTAATAAATATTTGAAATCGATGGTCAACAGCGATGTAGGAGGCTTCGCTTAAAAAACCAATACGCACCCTATGCCTGAGGTTGTAAGTCAGTATCAGGTTTCTTGAAAATGAGTTTGCAAACGCTTGATAGAAATCCAAAACTTCGAGCAACCGGTCACGCTTTATGGTRTGTAGGTCGCAGTAGGTCAGYGCGCGGACGTTGGCTGCGGATTGACCTAGTGCCGTGTCCTTCCAAAACGAATCACCAAACACGTCGCCCTTACCTTAACCCAAGGATAGTTAAATGTATATTATAGTTATACGTCTTGTTTAATTTTTTTTTCTAATAAAATAGTAAAATGGTTATTGTGAAGCTAACCTAAAATGGCGACCACTTCATCGTCTTGGATGACTTCTAGAGAACCGGTGACGATGAAGCACAGTGAGTCGATAGACTCGCCGGTGTGGAAGAGCAGGTCACCGGGTGCCGAGTGACTCATCGTGAAATGCATGGCCAGGGCGCGTAAGCACCCGTCGCTGGCCAACCGGAACGCCGGATGCTCGTTGAACACTTTTCGGTTTAGATGAACACATATGTCCGCTTTCATGTCTTTCGGACAATAATTCAACACCTTGAAGAAAACAACAAAAATGTTATACTCATGAAAATAATAATAATAATAATAATAATACCATGAACAAGATTTGTTTTCATTGATTATGTTTATAATAATATATCATTTATCACTGTTATTTGGTATCTTGGGACAAAACGACCACGGTGTCATTCGGGTGCCAAATTATCTGGGCGTCGGGCCACTTGGACTCCATTCCACGTCGGTAATAAAATACCACGATAATAGGTACTGTCCACTTTGTTCGGCCACAATGCGAATATATATCCTAACTACCAGCAGGTATATTTGATGTTTGTTTAGTGGTTCATTTTCAAATTATATTAGCGAAACCATAATTTTACTTGAAATCAGGAATTATGTCATAAAAAATTCCAACCTGAACGAATTTAAATGTATCAGTTTTGTAAGCAATTATTATACAGTATTTCATGAAAAGCTTGAAATGAACAATTTTGGTTTTAAAATTATTTATTGATATTGAAGCGTGTCAAAATAAAATGTCCCATTGGTGGGAAATACATTTGGTATGTACCTATAATGAATGCTAAGAAAGGATTATGATTATAATATACTAAGAGGCGTCGTCCTCAAACGTTATAAACGTCGTCACTCCGAGATATTATCAACCCCCTCAGATGTTTCATCAAAAATTATTTTAGTATTAACAAAATACTCAAAGCTATAATGGTTTTTATTTAATTATTTTGTACTTTGGTAACGTAAAATTGTAAAAAATTACATAACTTATAATTTATTAGTTTACCACACATAACAATAATGACTTATGGCATCATAGCAACTAATACAAACAAAAAATTAGATAAAATAGAGAGTTGTATAAAATTATCGAAATCTAAATCACCATATTTAAAATTATCTACTTATAATTTTCTCTAAAGTGGATTCCAAAAAATCATGATTAAAAAATTTCTCATATTCAATTATTCAGTAAAATGTACACTTATAAACTAGTGCACTTTAGAAGTTAAATTAATGACTGATGAAAATCATTTTTTTCAAATACAATCATAATTCGATGTTAGTGTGGTATGCTGATAATATTATATGGCCCGCAGATAGTCCTAAAATATATTATTATTATGTACCTAGTTAAATGTTTTAATATTAAAATTTCTGGTTGCGGCCGATACAATATCTGGCGATCATAATATTATTATCATATATTATCAATTCCGTTTACTGCTCTGGAGTGATTTAACTAGGGTAGGTAATTAATTCTATTTAATCCTTTGAGTATCCACAAACAAAGTATGGTTCCGTCCATTACCCTAAAGGGAACGCGCATAAGTAATAATTTACGTAAGCCGTACTTTATCCGTGTCCAAGCCGCGGGTCATTGCCCATGTGGACACCACATAGTCCATGACCCTCTCGGACAGCGCTTTCGGCACTTCGTGCAGCTTCATGAATTCTCTGACATTGTTTAACATGTCATGGTACTTAGCCGTTGCCGAAGTCATTTGCTGTATGATTGTGGTGACGTGACCGAAAATCGTAGCGTACAATAGTGCTGCAAGAATAATATTAATTTATTAAGTTCATTATTATTATATTATTCTATACTATATTATAAGTTATTTTAGCCTCATTGTGATTGGCTAACATTAATATCGTGCTATGTTTTACTGACAAAAATACTATCCAGTATAAGGTAGTATTCGAATACAAACACATTTTKTAGTTCTTGYCAAATTTAGTTCATGATTTTAAAATTGAAAAGTAACATGCATTTGACAGACAAGACGTAGTGCATGTTTTAAATAATTATGATTGTCTAGGTACTATAGAAAATATGAACGAACAACGTTGTACCAATAACATATGTATACTATATGTTTTTTTTTTTTTTAATATAGCGCAGGAATAATGTTTAAAAAGGCGGACAAGTGAGTAGCACTCTGCAGTACAGAGTAGTTTTCGAGCATATAATTGTAATAAATGCGTTATAGATTTGAACTCAATGATAAATCATTAAATTGGAAAAACGATTTTTACCAGAGACAGTGTGTCATCCTAGTATACTTGTAAGTTAATAATTAAAAAAATATGCATGTCAAAAAATAATTATGGCTAAGTTTCTTTAATATTTTTGAAGTTACCAAAAAGCTACTCTACACTTTGCATTACATTGTCGATTTTTTTTTATCGACAGAAGTTTAAAAAAAAATACGAAATAGCCCGAAACGAGAAAAAATATTTTGAATATTTTAYCATGTATAAAAAAATTCTAATATAAACATCGGGTRAAAATTTGAAGTGTTATTTCACGGTTATTGCTTTTTGAATTATAACAAAATATCAAAAATCGATTATCTAAGGGGAATAAATATTAACTACTGMATATCAAGTAAACATTTCAAATTCAAATGCCCATAAATAATGAATGTTACTTTATATTATACTTTTTTTTTCTGTTATAGGTGGAAAAACTTGTGGGGAATGTCCCGTTAAAACTTCTAATGCGAACTGCGAAAAGTTTTTTTTTATATATTTATAGCTGAAAAAATTTCAGGATTTTTATGACTCCTGTCTAAAATTCAAATTAAATTTATTATGGTTCTACAGTCAACTAGTTTGTTTTTATTAAATAATTATAATCTTATACAACTCTGTCGTATTACGCAATTTCAAAGTTTTTGATCAAGCAAAAAAATATTGAATGATATTTGTAAAAAATAAATTTTGAAAATTTGTCACTGCTGTAAAATTTCTTAAGAAGAGTAAAAACATATAGGAAGGTGAGGTTTGATTAGAAACAAAACAGCTCTATCGTCACGTACATTCCATCAAACATCATAATATGTTATCACAATATTGTATTGTAAAAAAAATGTATCGAACATATTTTTGAAGTATTCAAAAGAGTTTTGTATAAAAGTATTTAACAAAAATATTTGATATTCGTCTTATCACAACATGCACTAATTAATAGGCACTTACACGCAATGACCATCATGCAAATGGTGAAAATCTTTTCGTTGTCGGTTTCCGAGGCGACGTTTCCAAAACCGACGCTCGTCATGCACGACATGGTGAAGTACAGTGCAGTCACGTACATGGTCTTTCGTGGAGGACCGTGAACTAGTTCCGTGGAGTTGGCGTGTTCCGACATTATGTAAGAGTACGGATACTGCGTGATGTTTGCCAACTTCCACAGCCACGAGTATTGATATCCGTTCTCGGCGTCGGACCGTCCTGATAACATATTATAATCAAGAGTTATATCGATGTGTATGTGTGTGTGTGAGAGAGAGAGTGAGAAATATAGTGAAAAAATTATTGTATGATTTTTAAAAATGTAAACTGCTAAGGATGATA